ATTTTGGCTCTGAAGCACCTCGTCGTCGGAATGCCAACGTTTCTCCGCGCGTCGCTCTGTTCAGTCATGGCAAGCCAAACACGGCAGCAACTCGGTAGGGTACAAACGTCAATCAGTCGTTCTGGCGCGTGACGTCATTGGTTACCGGAAACTCAACCACACTGCCCATTTACACGAGGTTACGGCGGCCAACGGTGCAAGAACCGCTGGCATCTTGCGTCCTGGAGTCGTCGCAAAACAGCGTGGCGCTTTGTAGCTTCATGGCTACAAGCTGGCGTGTTCAAAAAGAGCGTTTTTGTACAGGACGGTCAGTGCGTGGAACGTTTATCCGCAGCACCTTGTGCGTCACTCAGATGCTTTACATTGTTCCCAAGCGGCATTTATAGCTCAGGTGAGTGGACGTCACTGTACATTGTTATCTTATCAAACTATGTAACTTACTCTTACGTGGTGCTTTTATGCACATAATGATTACTGCCCTGCAGCGTGAATGTCAGGATAACCTGAAATCCATTAGCATGGCAGGATAGCGACGAAGAAAAGAAAGCTATAGAACGTGAACATGGTGCATGATTAGAGCACGGTGTGAAAGTGATGCAAACACCATAAGGACAAAATTGAGGACGTCCTGTACGCTGCATTTGTTTCCCGTGAATACTGGTTAGGGCTGTTCTGTCTCAATTGACTGCCCTAGCGGTCATCCCTTCCAATGTCCCCAGCCACGTGGCCAGGATTCTGCCCTGCTTGGGATGTCAATTTTCGCAGAACACCAGTGAATGTGGACCGAGTGTTAACCTGTTGACTCAGGGGGGGGGGGGGTCATGTACTTTATGGGCCCCCTTGGCTACATCCCCGCGCTAGCTCCGCCCGACCAGCCTCCGACCTCCTGTGTACTGCAGCTAGTGAACACAAGCACAATCAGCAAGGGACAGAGCATGGACAAGACCAACATCAGGCAGTACATGACCACTGTCCAACCGGCCACGCAGCCAGCCACATGGAGTGGTACAGTGTCGCAGCCAGCATGGGATGGTACAGGGTCACAGCCAGCATGAGGCGGTACAGAGTCACAAGCAGCATGAGGCGGTACAAGGGCAGAGCCAGCATTGGGTGATACAGGGGCACAGACAGCATTGAGCGGTACAGGGGCACAGCCAGCATTAGGCAGTACATGGACGGTCAGCATGAGGTCGCGTGGAGACACGCCTAGCATGGGGCTAACAGTTTACGGCCCACACAAGCCTCTCCAAAACCCATCACAGCTTAGGGTTGTTGTGTGGCGGTGGGATACATAGCTAATATATTTTCCGGCATGATTTCTGAAGCATTTTTAAGTATTGATCAACGCTGCCAGCCTTTCTCCAGGCGTCGTTATCTCTAAAAGAAGTGTTAACTCCGCGTCACTCCAAATGTTAACGCGGGAACGCGATAACCCTTATTTTTGACGTCATTCAAGGTAACACGTATACGAACTCACCATGCCTCGCGACAAGTGCCATAGCTGGCGTTACCTTTGCGTGCACCGCTACCTCACACGCGCAGCGTCTTATGGCATCCACATGTGGAGCCTCCGCGACGCGCACGGGACTTCCGTCACTCAGCGAACGGGGACAGGGAAGAGGAGGCCGGACGTGACGGAGGCGAGAGAGCGCCTGCACCGTTGTGGTGAGAGTGGCACCGTCAGGGGCTGGCAGAACCCCGATGACGGCAGTCAGTAACGAGGTCGCTGGGTCAGTCACCAGACCAGACGGCTGTTCCTCGAGACACCGGCTGCCAGCAGGCTGTTTGCCGCAGTGACGGTGTGTGCCTCGAACAGTTCCAAGCGGCAACGTGCCTTTTACATTGGTTCTTGTCATGCAACGCCGTAGAGTTAACGCTAAATTTATCTAGACGCCGACCAGCGGCCGGCTCTTCCCCCCCCCCCCCCCCCACACACACTTTTATGTCGCCCCTGTTCTAACGCAAATTACCGCTGACAGTCGTGACGTCCATGCACCCTCGCAGATTGGTGGAGCGTGGAATTCCCAACAAACGGTTGCCCCATGCGGTCGGTGGCAACTCACAGCGGTGTGAAATACGCTGAAGATGTCCTATCTACTGTACGAACCCCACCGTAGCAACACCAGCGCCTCGCGTACGCGCCGGCTGAGTCGGCAGATGTCCATACCTCAACGGTGGCGGTCGGCTGCGGTGACGGCCAATCCCCCCCCCCCCCCCCCCGACGAGTCTGGGGACAGACGCGAGACTTACCTCGGCTGTTTCCATATCAAGTCATGGGACTAGAGTTGGAATGTTGTCTAGGGATGGATCCATGGATTTCCTGATAACGTAACTCGTGGTAGTGGTCTATAGGTGGTCTACGTGTAATTGACAGCCACCATTTGAGCTAATGAGCAACATCTGTCGTGATTTTATTTCAAAATGCTATGCTCAGCTGCAAGTCGAATGCAGTTGCTCGTTCATGAAGCGTGATAAACAACCTGATGCTCATGCACCCTCACCCTCCAGTATCTGATTGAGACAACCAAGGCAACTCCACCTCGTGATTCAGTTCCAGCCCGGCGCGGCGCGGCAGGTTTCCTTGGTTAGCGAAATGAAGCAAATATGATTTGTAAAAATGTCGCCAATAACCACCTAACTTTCACATGATCGGATGCATTTTGTCACCATTGTGCAGATGCGAAATGAAACATGGTGAACATATTTGGACGGTTCACTTTCTATCGCAAATTTCGTGCACTGGGTGTATACAACATGGATTAAGTGAAGTGAAAAATATCATAAAAGTTGCGGCGCATTTTGTTTTATTATAGTGACCTATGCACGACTGTATTACGGCGGTGCTGGCTGCTCGGTGTCATAACATTGTTGATTAAATGGGGTGCTCCACATTTGTATGGGATTTTGAACTGAGGCAGCCATCTTGAAGATCATTCGGTGCAGTTCATAGCCCCGCCTTTTTAAAATCCAAAGCTTTTTAGGTTCTGGACTACACGCCAGAACGATGTGCAGACTCCTTCGATGGGACTTTTGCAGGTCACCCAACCAATCGCTGCAGCATCGATTTTCAAGAAAGGGACAAAAAAGTGTCAGTAACTACAGGTCTGTGAGTCTAACCTCACTAGTTTGTAAGTTCTTAATGAAATTCATGAAGGCTGCATTCAGTCACACTTAAAATGCATCAGTTGATAAATAGAAGTCAGTAAAGCTTTCTTTCTGCCAGGTCGTGTTTAATAAATATTCTAGAGTTTATGGAGCATGTTACCGGTCAAATAGATAAAAACAACAGTTTGGATGTTATCTTTCTAGATTTCAGTGAGGCATTTGATATGGTGCCACACCGTCTGCTATATCAGTTAAAATTGCATGACATTGAGGGGAAAATGTTTTGGCTAGGTAGGGGCCTGGCTGCTAAATGGGAAGCATAATGTAATGTTCAATGGTACAAAACCTCAGTGGGAGCTAGTAGACAGTGAGGTTTCACATGAGTTGGCGTTGAGCCCTTTGGTCTTTATTATTTTTGCACATAATATTAGGATAGGATTAGGGAGTAAGGTGCTAAACTTTGCTGACGATATCAAGTTGGTAAGGCTGTCAAAGAATACTGATCGGATGAACCAAATTCAACTTGGCTTGCATAAAGTAGTGAACCGGGCTTCTCCATGGCTTCTCCATGAATGTTGTCAAAAAGTTGTACTTGGCTTATGTCAGACTACAATTAGAGTATTGTGTACAGGCTTGGTCCTCGTGCTTCAAAAAGACATGGACAGACTGGAAAGAGTACAGCGAAAAACAACTAGGATGATAAATAGGATTGGCGACATAGAAGATAAGCACAGGCTTAGTGCCTTGGATCTGTATTCACTGAAATATCGCAGACTTAGAGGGGATCTGATAGAGGTATGCAAGATTATGAAAAGGATTTGCATGGAAGATCTACAAGGAGCACTGGAAATTAGGCCGAGACATAGCGGAAACCAGTTTCATTCAGCAAAAGGTAGGAGTAGAACTATGAAGAGGTAGATGTCATTTAGTCAAAGGGTATTAACCATTGGAATGGGATGAAAAACAAAGTTATAGAAAGTCCCTCCCAAGCAACATTCAAAAAGCGTTTGGAAAAGTCATATCGGTCTAAAAATATCATTTATAACTAAATTTATGTAGGCGAGGCGATTGGTTTCGAGGAGGTGTACGGAACCTGAGGCGGGTCAACCTCGGTAGGCCCTTGTGGCCCTTTGTTGGCCGGATATCGCTATGTCTTTAACCATCCATGACGCCATAATAACGTTATTCCACTCCTGTCATTTCGATGAACATGCGGCGATCAAACCCCAAAACAATTTCTCGAGTCATTCATATGTGGCGCTCGTGAACACGATTTCCAGACATAGCGGCCGTCAACTGTCTCTTTATCAATGCTGTGTAAGGTACGATGACCCTATCAAACGATGACGTATTGAGGGCCATATTCACGAAAAAGAGAAACTTTGTCGTCTAGAGCAGTCTTTTTCACTTAAAAGTATGCCAATAGTTATAAGTGAGCTTACTTTATCACATCTGATGCTTGCCCCCAAGTCTCCAAATGTAGACCATTCCCTTTAACCTCAGCCATTGTTCGGCCGAACCGTTGGCTGCCGGAACCGTGCAGCACTGCTTCATCGCCTGCAGTATGTCAGCAGTCACTGATAGCCATCGCTAGCTAATGCTGGTCATTATCATAGGCTGAGATCATCGGCCCCGCCACCAGTCACTACCAGCCCTATTCAGCTGCGGATAGACAGACTGTAGAAGGCCGCGATCGAAGATCACGGGCCGCTACCGCCAGTCGTGCCCAGCCAGCACATAATGTCTGCGGCCCTCACCAGCCATCACTGCCCGTCACATCCCATTACCAGAAGCTACCATCACCCATCACTTCTCTTGTCATCGCTCGTCATCTGTCATCACACGTCATCACCAGCGCATTTTCCACCGCTTTTCCGTGCCCGCGTGCTACTCACCGTGAAGTTGAGCGTGGGGAAGATGGCTGTCAGGTCAATGTCGGGCGTGTTGCGGCGTCGGCGGCCACCACAGCTGACCGGCTGAGTGTCAGGCCACCGACCTGCCCCGGGCGCGGTGGCCGGCGCCGACAGGTCAATGACGGCCAGTGCCAGCAGTGAGACAGCCGCTGTGCAGGTCAGTAGCAGGAGACGCAGGCCGCGCCGGCGGGAGCGGCAATACAGCTGCCATCGCACCAGACTCCGACCACACTGCATGGCGCCGCGCCTGCGAGGCAGAGCCGTCAGCGGTTAAGGGTCAGTGGTCAGGGGTCAGCGGTCAGGGGTCAACGGTCAGCGGTCAGCGATCAGGGGTCAACGGTCAGCGGCCAGGGGTCAGGGGTCAGCGGTCAGCGGTCAGCGGCCAGGGGTCAGCGATCAGCGGCCGAGGGTCAACGGTCAGCGGCCGGGGGTCAACGGTCAGCGGTCAGCGGTCAGCGGTCAGCGGTCAGGGGTCAGGGGTCAGCGGCCAGGGTCAACGGTCAGCGTTCAGGGATCAGGGGTCAACGGTCAGCGGTCAGGATCCAGCAGTCAGCGGCCAAGGGTCAACGGTTAGCAGCCAGGGGTCAATAGTCGGTGGTCAGCGGTCAGCGGCCAAGGGTCAACGGCCAGCGGCCAGGGGTCAGGGGTCAGAGATCCACGGTCAGCAGTCAGTGGCCAGGGGTCAGCGGGGGAAAGAGAGAGGGGGAGAGGGAGAGAGACGGGGAAGAGAAAAAAGAGGGACAAATAGAAGACAATGCGATTTTATGCGATCAGACAATGAAGCGAACCAGTGGGTCTCCCGCAAACGAGCACCCGCAATAACGAACCTGGGATAACAAGCGGCATGGGTGAAGGTAACAGCCAACTGTTCTCAGAAATGGGCATCACCGAAACGCATACGACACCGTAAGCGATGGGAGAATAAAACAGCATTGTGATGCATCCCACACTTAGAACAATGCCTTTTGTCGCATAATGAGCCCGGAGTATTTCAAAACAATGGACACAAATTTCACGACTAATGAGCTACTGTGAAAAGCGACAGAGCAGCCTAGAGCTGCGTAGCGGGCATTAACATCAGTGCTTCAGGCATTACTACAAGTCTAGTTATAGTGTGTATCAGTCAGTGGCATGTCTTAAACAGAAGGGTTGCTGGCGGCCCGTTCACTTGAGAGCTCAGTCCTTGTCTCCGCTCGAGATTGGTGTGGATGTGCACTTCCACAAAAAGAGCAGTGCTGGACGCTTCAAGGTGTGTGTTACATTTCAGGTTCATTGTTCTTTGGGTCATTCATATTTATCCTTCCACAAACATTCTTTAAATAAACATCGACGTAAATAATATCCAAAACCGAACAATTGCTAAGATAGAGCATGCTACAACGTATGTTCCAAAGGACCACGAAACACTGCGGATACTGAAACAAACAACAAATTTCAAACAGCATGCTTCGGCCATTTTTTGTGAAGGAACTGACCCAATGTTTTTTCATTTTTGCTTGAAAAGCGTAGAACGTTCGGACACTTCTCCCGACTCACACGGTATCTTTTTTCACCCTGTTTCATGGCTTTCAGGCTTAAGTATTTCTGTACTTTTTGTCAAACGTAAAGTACCTGCGGCAGGACCACAGACGGACATGGCAATGGTTTTGTCAATGGCGTCACGGCTGAGGAAAATGGTGGCAGTTACAAATCTCCCGCTGCTCGTCATTTGTTGCTGCTGAAAGGATGCCCTCTGCGGCCACGATTTCTTGTTCGTTCCGAACATAATATTAGAAAGACTTTTTACGGTGGTCCCAAAACCATATCACTGTTGTAGAAAACCATCAGTTTCATGTGGTCACGGAAGAGAAGGGACAGTCAAGTTGTAAAAGCCGTCGCGTATTTTCGACAAGTTACCACTTATGCGTGCATCCGTAGGAGCGTATTCTGAATCCCGCCTCACCTGCCTTTCGGTCGCATGGGAGCTGGCAGGGACGCCTTAGGCCCGGCCAGACCGACCTCTGTTCCGGAGCAGCGTGCGTGTCGGATACATTCCAGCGCCTATGAACGCATGTTTGTGACTGCTCCGCTATTCTGGCGTGAAATAGGTCGGCGGCTCAGCTCTCCCGTGCTCTGTGTATTTGGACTGTCAACAAAGCCTGAAGCCTTGGGAGCCGCGTCGGCCGGTGCAGCACGACCCTGCCGCGAACGCGAGCGGTGACGTCAGACGCGTTTTTGCTCACGTGGTGGCCTTCGCGTGAACGCATTTCACTCGTCGAGTAAGAGGGTTAAAGAACTGTCGCAAAAACTAACGGCGGTGAATGGAGAATTTCACTTTCGGAAGTGACGAGCGAACCGAAAATGGTGTTACGCCATTCACGTCCAAGGATATCGCAAACTTAATTCAAACGACTTCGAATTTCGCAACGCATGCGCTTATGGTGATGCCAAGGTACCCTGAAAATTTCACGATTCTCATCGCACCCCAAGGGTAAAATCTAGACCGTCTTCGTCTGAGGTGCTATGCGCTTCCGTCATCTTTTTGTCCCGGACTTTGTGCACCGACGGATGGCTATTGCGCAGACCACTGGGCAGTTTTTCGCTTCAGTTGAGAAGGAACTGTCGGTTCACATTCTCAGCCGTCTGTGTACGCCATCGATAATCACTACTCAACCCGATCTGTGGCGTTCCCAAAGTATCAAAAACAGAGTCTCTTTGAGAAGCCCTACAACCTACGGCCAGGAGTGCCTCGTCCAGTTCTGGAACCAGTATCGTATGCCAAGACATTAGGTCCACTCGCCATTTGCGTCTCAGTAGAACTGGCTTTTACGTAAAACGTGACGTGAAGCCTGCAAAGCCGTGCACGAACGAGCCAAACCTATCTATTGCATTCATTGTTTATCAACCTGTCCATTTATCCTCGAATGTCTGCTTATGCTGGAACGAAGCATTGCTCTTCACAGACAGCTCTGTTCATGTTTTGACATGAAGCAGACGATCGCTGAACAGAATCCGCTGCTTTCTGGCTGAGCCAACCTAACCTGGGTGGCTGCTGGAGCTGTGACCGGGCCAGCGGGCGGACACGGCCACCGCCGGCACGGCCGGCAGACTCAGTCAGCGGACACGGCCACCGCCGCCACGGACGGCAGGCTCACGGTCAGCTGGAGCTGTGACTGGGCCAGTGGGCGGACACGGCCACCGCCGCCGCGGACGGCAGGCTCAGTCAGCTGGAGCTGTGACCGGGCCAGCGGGCGGACCCGGCCACCGCCGGCACGGACGGCAGACTCAGTCAGCTGGAGCTGTGACCGGGCCAGCGGGCGGACACGGCCACCGCCGGCACGGACGGCAGACTCAGTCAGCTGGAGCTGTGACCGGGCCAGCGGGCGGACACGGCCATCGCCGCCGCGGACGGCAGGCTCACTGTCAGCTGGAGCTGTGACCGGGCCAGCGGGCGGACACGGCCATCGCCGCCGCGGACGGCAGGCTCACTGTAAACTGGCTCCAGACACGGCAGACGGTAATCAGCTCCGTTGCTGCACTCCGCCGGCCGGCTATGACGGCTCGGGTAACAGGATGGGCTTGGCGGCAGTGCAGAGACCATGCGCCGCGTCGCTCTCGACCGGGCCGGTGCTGAGAGCGGCCCGGTCGAGTGATGCCGAACACACCGCACTGCTTCGGACCTCACCGTCAAACCCTTCACTTCAATATTCGGTCGCGGCGCTGCAAAAGCTCGGGTAACCGGTCGTGCGCGGCGGCAGTGCAGAGATACCTTGTGCGCCTGCGATGCCCACGTACTGCTCATGAACGGCCTGGGACTGGGGAACGCACTTAACTGACATGGAACAGGCCGCATTGCTTCCAAGGCAGGCGCCAATCGCGAACCATTGTCGACACGTATAGCCGCGAGGCCACACGTATGACCAACTCTTGCCAGCCCATCGCCTTGCCAGCCTCTCGTTGACGCGAGTTGACGCGCTAAGTCGCAATAAATTTACGCAATGTGCGGGATTCGAATCCGGATTTCGCGACCGCAGTTGGCTACGTTACGCCCGAGAGACGGATTCGCGCTCTGGCCTGCTGCGCTCTCTCCCCTGTCTGGCCCGCCGCTCGCCTGTCTGGCCTGCTGCGCTCTCTCGCCTGTCTGGCCTGTTACTCGCCTATCTGGCCTGTTGCGTAGCAGGCCAGACATGCCTGCCTGGCCTGCTGCGCTCTCTCGCCTGTCTGGCCTGCTACTCACCTATCTGGCCTGTTGCGCAGCAGGCCAGACATGCCTGTCTGGCCTGCTGCGCTCTCATGCCTGTCTGGCCTGCTGCGCTCTCTCGCCTGTCTGGCCTGCTGCGCTCTCATGCCTGTCTGGCCTGCTGCGCTCTCTCGCCTGTCTGGCCTGCTACTCGCCTATCTGGCCTGTTGGCAGGCCTGTCTGGCCTGCTGCGCTCATGCCTGTCGCCTGCTGCGCTCTCTCGCCTGTCTGGCCTGCTACTCGCCTATCTGGCCTGGGAGCTCGGACTGAGGCTTCGCCTTGCGCTGCGCCTTCGCGTTCCAAGTGCGGCTATAGCACACCACCACGGCCGCACAGGTGAATCAAGACACCTGTGGCCCACGGAGGTGGTACAGTCACTCCTGTCGTATCCCAGCTGTCGCTGTCGCCGGAAAACACTCCCAGTGGTGCGGCAAGCTGAAAAGGCGATTGTACCTTGCAGACCAGCCGCTTCACGTTTCGTCTGCTGCAGGTCGGAACAAAAAATTATTCCCAAACGCTCATGTACATGTTGTTCAACGGCGATCATGAAAGTCATCTTGTCATTAGGCATTATGGAGTCCGCCTTCTCCCTGACAGGGGGTCCGTACGATCCGCTACGATTTTTAAGATGCCCATCCGGAACATCGCGCAGTTGCACGGCGATCTACGGCCTGCGCGGGTGATGGGCGGCAATACACGATACGGTGGAATGCGCAAGGCCGGTCGACATTGCTATATAAACGAAGCTATACGTCATGCATATAAGGTAGAAATGCATAAGACCATACACTATTTTACTCAAAATTAAACAAAACAAACCAATTTGCGAACAAAAGTTGCAAAACGAAAATGATTCTGAACGTTTGAAATATTTTTGAGCTGAACATAGCCTATGTAAAAACAATGTTTTCAACAGATTGTTTATATTGAACGGGAGCTTTCAGAATTACTGTTATCCTTCCTACAGCTTAGATCAGACAAATAACATAAAAACAGATTTGGGCACGCATTAGGGAAAAAGCTTCTAT